CCCGGTCTGCAGGAACGGCACGTGCTCCACCCGTGCAGCTGGTGGACGAGCGTGCGCGGTGCCGAAGCGAAAACCCCACTCCTCCGCCTCCGCCTCCGCTTCCTTCTCCTCCTCCTTCTCCTCCTCCTCCTCCTCCTCCTCCTCCTCCTCCTCCTCCTCCTCCTCGTGGCTGTGGGGCGAGTGTGCACGGCGCCAGAGCAAAAATTCCACTTTGAAAACGACCTGTCTTCCATCCGCAAGCTGCTGGCCTCAGGATCATCGAGTAGAAGCAAATCCAAGGCAGAACGCCCGTCACGCTCTCACGACACGGCTGGCAAAACGACAGGGACAACCTCAACCTCCTCGTCCCCGCGAATCCCCAGAGGTAAACAAAACGAATGCATGGATCCTTCAGAAACGAGAGGAGGAACAATGACCCCCGATCCTCGCCCCTCAAGAACGCCCTCGATCCTCGATCGCCGAGGAGGGTAGAGAGGTGAGGGAAAACGTGGGGGGGGGGGACCAGCTGGGGGGGGGGGAAACCTGAATCGGCGATGCATCGCCGATAGGTCGGCGATAGGCCCCCGATGGCGAATCCGCACTTTCCTGGGCGGGGCGGGCTACGGGGCACCGATCGGCGATGAATGATTGATTGGGATGTCGATGTATCCCCCGCTGAACCCATTCCCCCCCTTGCGCTGCCCTCCTCCTTCCGCTCCCTGGCTTCCGGGACAACACTGGGGCGTCCAGCGGCCGTTCGGGGCGATGGCATCACCCCCTGGAACGACCCCGACGGGGCACAGCCGATGTGAGCCCTGCCGGGTTTCGGAAACTTTCGAAAGCTACCGACAAAACCCTGGAGCCTGTCCTCCCTGACGTTTCCCCTGACTCGATCCTCGACCGTCGAGGAGGGTGGAGAGGAGAGGCGGCGCACCGCACGAAACGAGTCCCCTGAAGCCATCGCTGTCTAGGGCTCCTGGTTATTCGCCGTCGGAGCAGTCCTGGCAGCGCAACTCTTGTAGACACGCGGGTTCCACATCGCAAAATAACTTCTCGCAAGTGGCCTGGATCCGCCACGGGAAAATTACTATTTACTATTTATGCTTGCATGTGCATGTATATATCTATGTATATGTGTAGATATACACCTATCTATAATATGGAGGAAAACAAATGCTTATCGGACGCTTGCGAGAAGGCACTTTGCAATCGTGGAAATCCTGGTCGGACCAAAGGGCGGGCCAGCAAAGAGAAGCGAGCTAAGCAGGGAAAAGGAGGAGGAGGAGGAGGAAGAGGAGGAGGAGGAGGAAGAGGAGCAGGAGGAGGAGGAGGCGGAAGAGGAGGAGGAGGAGGAGGAGGAGGATGAGAGAGGGGGAGGAGGAGCGAGGAGGAGGAGGAGGCAAAAGAAGGGAGGAGGAGGAGGGAGGAGACGAAGGGATGCCAAAGAGGAGGAAGAAGAAGGAGGAGGAGGAGGAGGAGACGAAGGAGGCAAAAGGAGGAGGAAGAAGAAGAGAGGCAAAAGGAGGAGGAAGAAGAGGAGGAAAAAGCAGGAAAAAAGGAGGAGGAGGAGGAGGAGGAGGAGCAACGGCGGCGACGGCAGCGCCGAGCGCGGCCCTCTCCCTCGAGGCGTCGTCGGCCCTCCGCGCCCGCCCTCCGCGTGCGGCGGTCGCTGTCGTCGTTGTCTCTGCCTCTGTCGACGACGTCCACGAGCCCTGAGTGGGGCCTCCCGGGAGTTTTTTCTTTTCAGAACTCAGATAACCTTCTTGGGGCAATAGCTGTGCAACGGCACAATGAAACTGTCACGGAATACCTCTTGGAGGTGGTGACCATGTCGAAAAGTCCGAAGAACAGTCGTTTTCTCGGCGGGCGGAAAGAGGGGAAGAGGCCCCAGGAGTGAGCAGGGCTCGCAGCTTCGCGGGGGGGCCTCGTCGAAGGCCCCTGGGAGCCGCGCGGTGATTCCCCCTGGGCCGAGTGCCCGCCCCTGTTGCAGCCGCCGGCTGTCGAGCCCCCGGACCACCAAGAGCGGATCCCAGTGCGAGAAGTTGCCCCCGGGGGAAGTGGTGCGGGGCGGGGATTATCCATGTCCACCGCCTGGGAACCGACGTCCTGGTGCCCCGGCGGGTGGTGGATGTGGATATATTTCGGCCCCCGGGGGCCCGAAGATGTCCATATCCACCGGCTGCCGAGGCTCCGAAAACTAACCCTCCAGGTGGTGGTCATGTAGAAATTCCCGCCTCGCGGTCATTACCGTCGTCGACGGGGTCGTCGGCCGTCGGCCGTCGGCCGTCGGTCGTCGGTCGTCGGTCGTCGGTCGTCGGTCGTCGGTCGTCGGTCGTCGGTCGTCGGTCGTCGGTCGTCGTCGTCGTCGTCGGTCGTCGTCGGTCGTCAGTCGTCGGCCGTCGTCGTCGTCGACGTCGAGAGGAGCATCGGCGGCGTCGGCAACGGCGGGCGAAGCGAGCGGCCGCGAGCGGCTCGAGCGAGCGGCCGCGGCGAGCGGCTGCGGGCGGCCGCAAGCGGCCGCGAGCGAGCAGCTCTCGAGCGAGCAGCGCGCGCGAGCAGCGCGCCTCGGGGGGCGGCGTCGGCGGAGTGGTGCCCGTGCGCCCTTTCTGGACGGGCTGGTTCGGCCTCGGGGGGCGGGCGCGGAGCATTTTTACAGGGCGGAAGGCCCAGGGTGAGATTCGAAGGATCAGCCTGGGTGTGAAAACCCTCGAGTTTCGGTACTCTTCTGGTGCTCGAAACTCTCTCTGGCGACCAAGGTTCACCTAGGTGGGAACATCATGAGGATGGGTGGCAGGATGCCGCGGGGCGCTACTGCCTGGCCCTCCTCCCCCGAGGGCGCGGGAGGTCGCGGGAGGGAGAGCGCTTCTGGGGCGACGAATGCGCCAGAGCCACCGCCGGCAGTGGAGAGGAGCTGATGCATTATAGGGGCTTTTGCACCTCGAAAATCGATCCGTCTTGTGATTCGCCTTTTGCGGATTCAGGCCTCGCACATCCCTCGAAACGGCATTTCAGAATTCACCCTTTGCCCTCCACCCAAAAAGAAGATGCTCGGGGACTCCCTGGCTCCCTGCAGGACCTCGGCAAGTCGAGTCCAGGCCGTGTTGAAGGTCATCGTCATCGTGTCGATTACAAGCATCCAAGCTTACAGCAAAGCTGAGCCAGCCAACGAGCAGGACTCCCCTGCTCAAGCGAGTTTCGTTTCCCGTCCTGGTCGCCACATCCGGAACTCCAGAACTCTGGCACCGTCAGCTGCCGCCAGGCTGGCTCTCAGGGATGATGGGGGCTCCCTGCTGATCTCCTGGAGTCTGCCATGTTTGCCAATGTCTGCACAGCACTGTCGCTGGGACATGATGTTGCATTGCGCATAGGCTGCAGATGCGCCTCATGTGGTCTGAAGGTCTGAATCTCCCTCGCTGCTCCGTCTCACGAGAAAGATAAACTACCGATACCGCTACCCTTCCGTCGTCAGCCCGCACCCCAGGAGTTGCCCGTGGAGTAGCGGTATCGGTGCCTTCGTCCCCCCACCGTCGCGGGCCTCGGGCTTGAACGTCGCCCTCCATCCCGCGCGCAAGAAGAAGGCTCGGCGGGCGTCCCGCCGCCAAGTTGTTCTTTCAGCTGCGAGGTTGCACTGCAAATGCCCGACCGTCTCCCAACCCTTTTCCGGCGACGGCCACGGTGGCGGCGGCGGCGACCACAGCGACAACCACGGCAATGACGACGACAACGGCGCCGACAACGGTGACGACGACGACCATCACCACCACGGGACGACCACGGCGACGACGACGACCACAACGACGACGACGGCGGCGAGAGCCACAACGACGACGACGACGACGACAACGACGACGGCGGCGGCGGCGGCGACGACGACCACGGCGGCGGCGACGGCGGCGGCGGTGACGACGACGACGACGACGACGACGACGACGACGACGACGACGACGACGACGACGACGACGACGACGACGACGACGACGGCGGCGCGGCGGCGGCCGCGCCTGGGCTCCTCGGGGATCCTGGCCAGGCCCGCGGAGCGGAGGCCGGCCGGCGGGGACGTCGGCAGGTTCTGTGCGCAAGCGGGCGGGCGTCGGCGGCGACGCCGACGGCGCCGATGACGGCAACGACGAAGGCAACGACGCTGCGGCTGCTGCCGACGAAGGCGATCACCCCGACGACGACAACGACGACGACGGCGACGACGGCGACGACGGCGACGACGACGACCCACGATGACGACGGCGGATGTGTTTATCTTGTTGCTTCTGACGGCGCCGCTGTTGCTCCGAGCTCGTCATTACCCAGGCGATCCAGGCGCAGGCTGCACCAGGCGGAACCTCCGGCGATTCTGACTCTCTCAGATCAAAAGTCCCCGACTACAGACGCGTCTCATCCCAGAGCAGACGACGCAGCACGTTCGTCACCCGTGTTTCAGGCCTTCTCGGAGACCCTACGGACGCTCAGGCGTAGTCTCTGGGTGCCGCCCTTCCTGCGTCACGCGGCACGGCTCTTGTGAGTGAGTGAGTGAGTTAGCGGAAACCACGGGTACAGTCGCAGAATCAGAATGATCATCCAAAGAAGCATCGCAAGAATTGATACCCGATTGCGGACAGCCTGACAATACGATTCGGTCCATTGGAGGACCTGCAACGAGGGATGCACGAATGCAAAGATGCGACATGGGCTTTGAGCAGCTTTGTCTGGTGAGACGCGATGTCGGCAACGAACGACATTACCCTGTGTGCAAGGACACCCTGCAGAGCGGACGCCCGCTACCTACTCGAAGACAAAGAGGTTGGCGAGGAGAATTCTTGGACGAAAGATGCATCGTTTGGTTGAAAGATTCCGTGGTGACTTGCAACGATCGCAGAGCAATTATCCGCTGCCCACTTGGACGTCGAATACAAAACTCCTCAAAACCAGCCCGTCGACACATCCTGGAGCACAGACTGACCAGGATCTCAAAGCGGACACCGCCTCGCGACGAGATGGCCTCCGAAGCCCTGAGGGCCCCTGACTGCCATCAATGGCACCAAGCTATTCAACATGCGCTCTGGTGGGTGGGCGAGGCCCACTAGGGGAAAAACACAACGAGTTGGTTGAAGCCTGCCTCGGCCCCAGCATTGGGGTCTGAACACCTGCTGGCGCCAGCAGCCTCGAGCAGACGGGGCGAAGTCGCCACTCTGCGAAGCTGACGGGGGCCCCGAAGGCCCCTGAGGACGAGCAGGGAAAGGTGGAGAAGGAGGAGGCCGACGACGATGACGATGATTATCATCGGGCCACTAAATAGGGGCACGGTGCCCGAGCAAGCAGCGGGGTGGACGAAAGGGAAGTTAGCGAACGGGGGGGGTGAGCGCATCGGCTGCACGCAGGCTCGTGTCCCCGTTGACCAGAGGCGTGTTGGGCGACCGTGCATCTAGGAATGCACCCGGCAGCGGCGCCAAAAAAACAGCTCCTGGCTGCATGCAGCAGATTTCGCACCCTCCCCTTCCAAACAACCTCTGGACCCCCGACACGGTGACCCTCGCCACGCCGATCCTACAAGATCTCGACCTCATTCCCGAGACTGGCGTCTCATCCCGAGCCGTTTTTGCTGACTGCGCCAGGGGCTCCCATCTCACGGCCTTCCACGGGCCAAAAGGTGCCAAGAAGCTGGCGCCGTGGCTGCATCTGCAACGCGGGGGGGTCTGGGCTTCTGGAGGGGGCAAACAGGACTGCCATGATGAAGGCACCCAGGAACACTCAAATAAATCGGCACAAATCCCAGGATTCCCCATATTTCCCATATTTCCTGGATGTTCGTCTTCCCCTCCACTTCCCATACTTTCCTGGGAATCGTCAATGACTTACGTTTGTCTGTGTCTTGGTTCCCTCCTGACACGACCAAGACTGAACGCACAAACGTCGTTGCCGATCTCGGTCGGCGTCCATCTTGGTCGTCGTCAATTGGTGGATCATCCTCGCGAATCGGCGACAGTCGATCCTCCCTCGAGTTTTAGGTCGGTCATGTCCCCCTACAGGCCGATTTGGGATACAACATCATAAAGAGGCAAGACATTGTCAAAACAAATCAAATAATAAGCGGAAGAACGCCCCTGACCATTCAAACTATTGATTATTCCTCCTGTGGAGGGGCACGCCCGACGGAACTCGAGTTCCGCAGCCACCCCCCCGGTCGTCCTCCCCGAAGAGCAGCTTCATAGGGCAGGGCACGCGGACAGGGTCAGGAACGAGGAAAGGCGACACCAGCACCACCAGGGCGAGGAGATGCGAGGAGCAAAGGGGGGTCTCCCTGGCGGTGTGGCCCCCCCCCCCTCTCGCTCGAGACATCCCCAGCCTCCAGCTCGGGGAAGCATCATTGACCTCCTCCCTGGACGTGACCCCCCCCTGGTGGTGTTGCTGCCGCTTCTCCTCCCTCCGAAGGGTGCGGGGGGCAGAGGGATTACAGCAGCGGAGCTCCGCCAGGCAGCGCAGGGGGGGCCGGTCACGAGCTCTTGGACCGCGCGCGGCGCTTTCGGGAGCGGTCGCGCCTCGGGGGCGCGGGGGGAGGGCGGCGGATGGAGGTCGGGAGGCAAGGGCAATGGAGGGAGCGGGGGGGTGCGGGGAGAGGAGCGAGGAGGGGAGGGGAGGGGAGGAGAGGGGGGAGGGGAGGACAGGAAAGTAGGGGGTGGGGGCGGGGGGTGAGGCAAGTGGAACGATGGAGTGGAGAGGTGGGGGGGGCTGCGGTGGGTAGGGGAGGAGGGAGCGAAGAGGGGAGATAGCGGTAGGGGGGGAGAATAGTGTGTGTGAGGGCTAGTGCGCGAGGAGCGTGGCTGGTTTTTCTCTCTCGCTTAACGGCGCTGGCATCCTCAAGCATCGAGAAGGAAGCCCCGGCGACGGAATATCCCCACACCGACCATTGCGCCTCCAGGCAGGAAGGTCCATGGCCAACCTTCGTGCCAAGAAGCTCCAAAATCCAGCCAAGACGGCCCCAGATGGCCTCAAGATGGCCTCAGACTACCCAAAAGGTCCGCAAGAGGGCTCCAAGACGGCCCAGGAGTCCTCTAAGACGTCCTCCAGGAAGGCCCGAAAGGGTCAAAATGGCCTCCAGACGGCCAAGATGACCTCCAAGATGCCTCCAAGACGGCCAAGATGGCCTCCAAGACGGCGAAGATGGCCCCAAAATGCACCCAAGACTGCCCAAGATGGCCTCAAGATGGCCTAAGACGGCCCAAACGGCCCGCAAGAGGCCTCCAAGACGGCCCACGAGCCCTCCAAGACGTCTTCCAGGAAACCCGAAAGCTCGGAAACCACCTGGTCCGATAGCTCGCCCGACTTCGTGTTCCCCGAAAGCTTTCGAAACCCACTCGGGGAACGCGTGGCCAACTCAAGCTCAAACCCAACTTTCGGCCACGCAGGCGCTTCCAAAAAGGCAGGGGGCGGCGGTGATTTGCCGTAGGCGTCTTCGAAAACGCCAACGTCTCAATGTGCACTGATGATTCCTAACCGCCCCCGCATGATGGTTCCAGATGCGCCAAGGCAGCGCCGAGACGCACCGACGCGACTCTGATAGATCCCATTATGATAGAGAGGGGGCTGGCGGCAGGGGGGCGAAGCCCTTACGGATATGTATATATTTATATACGTACATCTAGATACATCTAGAGAGAGAGAGAGAAAAACAAAAAAAGAGAGAGACAGAGAGAACAAAGAGAGAGAGAGAGAGAGAGAGAAAAAAAAAAAAAAAAAAAAAAAAAGGGAAAGGGAGACGGACGAGGGGCGAGCGGATGGGGGAGGATGGAGGAACTCCCCTCCCAACCCTCCCCAGCCCGACACCCGCAACCCCCCAGCAGAGGCCCGTCCGAAGAGGGCCCTGCCGCGGAAGAAGCGCAGCCAAGAGGAAGGAAGAGGGAGAGAGAGAGAGAGACAGAGAGGAGGGAACTGGGGGGAGGGCAGTTCTGCGGCGACCGCCCTCGACCAGAAGCCAGCCTCCGCCCTGTCCACGGCCGGCGCGAGCGCGGCAGCCTCCACATGACCTGGCTGGTTCGGGGTGGAGTACAATGCAGTCGGGGCGTTGACCTAAGGAACCCTAAATAAAGAACGAGGCCCCTTTTTTCCATAAGTTTACCTCCGATTTCCTGCCTTCGACTCCGCTTGCGGTGCACCGCGGGCGCGCCAGAGATCCGCATACTGTCTCGACGCAGCCTTGCACACTCCAAGAGCACGGAAGGCGCGGCTCCTCGTGCGAAGACCACAGGGAGGCTACATGCCTGGATTCGTGCCCAGGGGCGCCTGCCCGGCGCATGTCCCAGCACGAGGGAACCCAGGTGGGCACGCGACAGCGACCTCTGGCGTAAAAGGACCTCCCACGAGTGGGAGGAGCCCTGCACTTTATGCAGGTCCGTCTGGCATTCGGGACGCAGGGGTAGGCACGGCAACGGGAGAGGATGCGGGGCCAGCTGCCTGCCGCCAGCGCTCCTCTGAAAACCGTGCCAGCCTGTCCTGGACCTCCGCCTTGCAACCGTCCCTTGTGCCTGGGGGGGCTCCGTCGAGACCAGATCGGCCAGTCTGGCATGCCCCAGGAGCTGAGAAGGACTAGAGAGGCCTGGCCCACGCGCGGACATCCCACTCGTGCGCACCTGGGAATACGTCTCGGTAGAAGCCACCGACGGGAAGGACCCACGAACCTGCCCTCCTGGATGCCAGTCCGCCCACAAACCGCGCTGCCCCCGACAGGTGACAGCCCATCTCGCCGAGCGCTGCTGATGGCCCTCGTACGCCGCGTCCGCAGCCTCCCCTCCTCCTGACGCAGGGGCCCAGAGCCAAATGCCGAACCTGAACGAGGCCTCCACCTGTAGATCCAGAACGCCTGCCGCTGCCGGTAATGGAAGCTCCTCACGCGCCACCAGGCCCGCCAGCATGGAAACGTGGGAGGCTGCGGCGCTGACTAGGAGATCCAAGTCGTTGCGCCAGTGGAGCCCCAGCCAGCGATGTTTGGTCACCATGGCGATCGGCATCGGCTCCTGGCCTGCCGAAGAGTAGGAGGGAGGGAACGAGGGAGGGGGGCGGGGTATAGAAAGGGAGAGCAAGAGGGAGGAAGCGGGAAGAGGAAGGGAAGAGGAGGGGGGGAAGAGGGGAGCAAAGGGGGTAAAGCTGGGAAGAGGGCGGGGAGGAGGGAGGGGAAAACCACGAAAGAGGAGGAGGAGGAGGAGAAGGAGGTGGGAGGGAGGGAGGGGGGGAGGAGAAGAAGGGGGATGAGAACGACGACGAGGAAGGGACCGAGGGCGGAAGGGGGGAGGACCAGGCGTGGCGCCTCCTCTTCTCCGGCGGCGGGTTGCCATCGGGTGACCTGGATCTGGACTTGCTCTTGGACTTGGACTTGGACTTGGACTTCGACCTCGACTTCGACTTCGACTTCGACTTCGAAGCGTTGTCCTTGTCCTTGTCGCGGGAGCCTCCGCGCCTATGCCGTCGGCGGTGGCGTCTCTTCTTCTCGCCGCCCTCGCCTTCGGTTCGGATTTTGGGGGGAGGAAGGAAGGGCGGAGGCGGAGGGCGGGAGGTGGAAGTGGTGGAAGAGGTGGAAGAGGTGGAAGAGGTAGGGAAGGGGGAAGGAGGCAGGGGGGAGGGAGAGGGGGGGGGGCAAGCTAGGTGCGCTCGCGTCATATCTGACGTCCTACCCCTCCCATCCCTTACCATGGCGCTGATTTTCTCTATCCGCGGACGCGTGTCGTAGCGGACCTGTGGCTCCGCGCGCGCGTGCGTAGTGGGTGGTGGTGCACGTGCGTGCGTGCGTGCGTGCGTGTGTGCGTGGTTGTGGTGTGGTGGTGGTGGTGCTGGTGCTGGTGCTGGTGCTGGTGCTCGTGCTGGTGGTGGTGCTGGTGCTGGTGCTGGTGCTCGTGCTTGTGTGTGCTGTTGCTGGTGGTGGTTTGTGATGGTGGTGTGGTGTGGTGGTGGTGGTGGTGGTTGAGTGGTGGTGGTGGTGGTGGTTGTGGTGGTGGTTGTGGTGGTGGTGGTTGGTGTATTTGGTGCGTTTGGTGTGTTGGTTCGGTGTGTTGTTTGTGTGTTTCTTTGTGGTAGTTGTTGCGGTGGTTGCGGGTTTGGCGGCGCGGTGTGGCGGGTCTTTGGAATGGGCGCGCGAGAAGGGAGAGGGGGGGGGGAAGGGAGAGGGAGGAAGAGAGAGAGGAGGTGGGAGAGAGAGGGAAGGGAGATGGTGGAGTGTAGGGAGGAACAGGGAGGAGGTGGGAGAGAGTGAAGGGAGGGGCAGGGGGAACTGAGGGAAGGGGCAGGGTGTGAGGGGAAGGGGGCAAGGGGGGGGGGGAGGGAGGGGGGGAGGGAAGGTAAGAGGGAGGAGGTGGGAGAGAGGGGAAGGGCTGGAGGACTGAGGGAGGCAGAGAGGCGAGGAGGAGGAGAAGGACAAGCTCATTGAAGGAGATGAGGGAATGTACTGCGTAAGAAGACGCATGAACATCAACGCTCAGGGGACTCAGGGGAAGACAAAACACCGATACCGCTGCTCGTCCTGGAGAGCCCCCGTCGCCACGCTGGAGAATCCTCTGAATTTTAATCAGAACGCACCCCGGGAAAAGGGCCGTGGAGTAACACGATCGGTGCAGTTTCACTCCCTCACGTCGGGGGCGCGCAAACATGGATTAGCGATTAACGATCCATGGACTTGGCGCGCGGCCGTCAAATCCATGGACCATGGGATGTACCAGAATGCGGCCGGTGCCGCCTCGCTCGGCGGCGGGAGTCCGCGATTTCCCGTGGAAGCGGGACCCGTCGTTGACCCACTCCCCCTCGATCCATGTTTGCGATCGCCTGATCCAGGTCCGCGCGGAAATCTTGCGCCGGCGCCAACCCGCTCCCGAAACGCTCCAAGGAGGAGGAGGAGGAGGAGGAGGAGGAGGAGGAGGAGGAGGAGGAGCAGGAGGAGGAGGAGGAAGAGGAGGAGGCGGAGGAGGAGGCGGAGGAGGAGGAGGAAGAGGAGGAGACGGAGGAGGAGGAGGCGGAGAAGGAGGAGGATTGCGCTGGCCCCAAGACTCGCGCTGAGCCAGCCTGTGGCCCCCCCCCTGGCCGCCAGCCGCGACGGAGACCCACCAGGGGTCCCAGGCCCGCCCAGGAAATCCGCGCGGGCCTCCGAAAGCTCGTGCTCTCGCGCCAGCCACACGCAGGAAGGGCCCCGGGCGAGAGTCAGGTCGGGCCTGTCCCCCTACAGGAGGGTTTTGGATGAAAAACATAATTACTCCGACGAAAAGACCCCAAATGAAAATCGTTTCGGTTAATCTGAAATAACCTTCACTGTCGTTCTCGCGATTCATGAGGCGCCATTATTGTTTTCTCTGAGTCATTATCATTCTCGCCATGGCGCAAGGCCCTCACCCGCTCCCCGCGATGCCCTTGCCTCGCCCTCCTGCTGTTTGTTTCGTCACCCACCATCTCCTTTCCTCTATTGCAAGAGCGCGCGCGTCGATTTTCCTCGACGCCGTCGCCGCCTCGGCCAGCGCGGGCGCATTCTCGAATGGCCGCGTCGCGCGGCCGTTGGGACAACCCCGCGGGCGGGGCCGTTGAGGCAACCGCGCGAGCCGCTGGGGCGCGGGAGCAAGCTGTTGGGACAACCCCGCCCGCACAGAGCTAGTCACGGCCGCGCGCAGGCGCTTACCACCCCCAGCCCAGATGCAAGGGTTTCCCCCTGCGCCCCGCCGCCGTCGTCGTCCTCACCTCCTGTTCCCCCTCTTCCTCCTCACCTGATGGGTCGGGCGAATCGCCCTCTGACGAGCGCATAGAGAAGGGGCTCCCGCCTGAGACTTCCTGACAGGTCACTCACAGACGAGGCTCCCCGCCTGATACTTGCTCCATATGCAGGCCTCGGGAACCACAAAGTGACGACAGTCACAAGGATGAGGATGACCTGCTCGGTTTTGTTACAACAAAAAAAGGGTCCCGCCTGAGACTTCCTCAAAAACATGATCTGCGGGCCCCATAAGGAGGGGGTTCCCGCCTGAGACTTCCTCGCAGTTCACTCAGAGACAAGGCTCCCGCCGGATATTTTCCCCCATATTCAAACCTCTGGAGCCCACAAATAACGACACTTACACGGATAAGGACGACCCGTTCGGATTATCAACATGAATCGCGGGCCCCATAGGGAGGGGGCTCCCGCCTGAGACTTCCTCACAATTCACTCAGAGAAAAGGCTCCCGCCGGATATTTCCTCCATATTCAAGCCTCAGGAGCCCACAAATGACGACACTTACACGGAACAGGACGACCCGTTCGGATTATCAACATGAATCGCGGGCCCCATAGGGAGGGGGCTCCCGCCTGAGACTTCCTCACAATTCACTCACAGACGAGGCTCCTGCCTGATACTTCCTCCAAATTCAAACCTGAGGGGTCCAAAAAAGACGACAATTATAGGTTTCCGATGAACCCCTCGGGTTACCAACATGACACGCGGGCCCCATGAGAGAGCTCCCGCCTGAGACTTCCCCACGATTCACTCAGAGACGAGGCTCCCGCCTGATATTTCCCCCAAATTCAAGCCTCAGGAGCCCAAAAGTGACGACAGTTACACGGATGAGGACGACCCACTCGGATTACCAACATTAATCGCGGGCCCCATAGGGAGGGGGCTCCCGCCCGAGACGTCCTCACAATTCACTCACAGACCAGGTTCATGATGGTGATGATGAGTATGATGAGTATGATGATGATGATGATGATGATGATGATGAGGAGGAGGAGGAGGAGGAGGAGGAGGAGGAGGATGTGGTGGTGGTGTGTTCCTGCGCGGGGTGTCCAGAGAAAATGATGCTGAGTGGTGAGAGAGAGAGTGTGTGCGATGTGCGACTGAGTATGATGATAATGGCGGTGGTGGTGATGCTGATGATGATGATGATCAATGGCCGATGGTGATGGTGATCGATGGTGAGTGACTGAGTATGATGATGATGGTGGTGATGATGACCGATGGTGATGATGACCGATGACGGGGTGAATGCGTGAGTGAGGCGGAGAGTGTGAGGGAGGTGTTCCTGCGCGGAGGGTGTCCAGAGAAAACAAGAACCCCACTTTGAATGTGGGGGAATACTCAAAAATATTCCAAAAATGTTTAGAAGTATCCCAGTGCGACCCTACCTAGGAGTTGGAGCATTTAGGAAAGCAACATCTACAGCTACACCGACTGCTACATTTACATCTACACCTGCATCTACATGCCGTCTACTCTGCGCTATGCTATGCTATGATATGCTTTGCTATGATGCGCTATGCTGCGCTATGCTGTGCTATGCTATGCTAGGGTACGCTCGTCTGCGCTGTGTTCTGCGCTATGCTATGCTATGATATGGTATGCTGCGCTATGATATGACATGATATGCTATGCTGCGCTATGCTATGCTATGCTAGGCTAGGCTATGATATGTTATGCTATGCTGCGTTATGATACGCTATGAAATGCTATGCTATGTGTTGCTATGCTGCGCTGTGTTATGGTATGCTATGCTATGATGTGCTATGATATGATATGATGTGCTGTGCTATGCTAAGAAATGATATGCTATGTTATGACATGATATGCTGCGCTATGCTATGATATGTTGTGCTATGCTATGCTATGCTGAGCTATGTTATGATATGATATGATATGATATGCGATGATATGCTTGGTTCTGATATGTTATACTATGATGTGCTAATGCTGCGCTGCGCTATGCTGCGCTGCGCTAAGCTAAGTTAAGGTAAGCTAAGTTATGCTCAGCTAAGCTAAGTTAAGCTAAGCTAAGCTAAGCCAAGTTAAGCTAAGATAAGCTAAGCTAAGCTACGTTAAGTTAAGATGACATAAGTTAAGCTAAGTTAAGCTAAGCTAAGCTAAGCTAGGCTAGGCAAAGCTAAGCTAAGCTAAGCTAAGATTAGATAAGCTAAGCTAAGATAAGCTAAGCTTAGCTTAGCTTAGTTTAGCTAAGCTGGGTGAACCCAGGCGACGTAACTGGGGGAACCGCGGGGCGGATCCTGGGGGAACCGCGGGGCGGATGCCGCGGGAACCGCCCGGGGCGCATTACAGTGCCCGGCCCCTTTAAGCTTACCGAATAAGAACCCTTCTAGGCAGAGCCTAGGTAGGGAAATATTCAGAAAATCATTCCCAGACTGCTTTTTTGGCTATTTTCGAATACTCCTCCTGTAGAGGGACATGCCCGACTTAAGGCAAGAGTGACCTGCGGTGGTGCGTGGCTCTTCAGGGGGCCGCACAGAAGGACACTCTGGCGAAGGGCAACCTTTACTTGCGGTCGGGCCTAGGCCAGCAGTACACCCCTCAAAAAGGTGAGACCCTCAGGATGCACAAGAACACCCAACAAACACGAAGAGCACTAGAGCACCCTCCCCGAACCGACCTCGATCTTATACCTCGGTTCGACCATGTGCGAAAAAGGGGCTATCTATTCAGCGGTGGACAAGCCTCCCTTTTGTAAACCTCCCTGTAGTGAAAACGGCCTGGGACAAAAACCGACGGACCCGGCTCCGCAAAAATGACGGCCGCGACGCCCTCTCGCGAACCGAAACGGCCAATTCCTTAATCGACGTGTCAGGGTAGGAGGTCTGTCCCCCCCCGATCTATATTTTGGAAGCCCGCGGCCGTCTCCGTCCCTCTCGCCGTCGCCGTCGTCCTTGTCCCTGTCCTTGTCTCCGCGGCGGTGCCGGTGCCGGTGCCGGTGCCGGTGCTTCCGCTCCGCCTTCTCCGGAGGGCATCGGCGGCAGTGGCGGCAGGAGCAGCTGCAGCAGGCGCTACAGGAGGAGAAAGAAGGACGACGAGGACGGAGAGAGGAAGGAGGGGGGGGAAGGAGGAGGAGGAAGGGGACAAGGAGAGGAGGAGGAGGAGGCGCTACAGGACGATGGGGGGAGGAGAAGAAGAGGGAGAGAGCAGTGACGGCAAGCCAACCGAAGGAAGCGCGACCCAGCCTATCCTCTTCCTCCTGCCACTTGGGCCTAAGAGATAGTCAGGACAGCAAGCACCGACAAGATGCCGTTCCACAACACGTGTTGAAAGGACCGGGCGGAAGGCCCACATGGCAGCGACGGCACGGAGGACCTTCTTTTCGTTGCTTCTCTTCAACCCCATGCCCGCCAGACCCCACAGAATGGCTGAGCTATATGCGGAAGCGCACAATTTCGATGCAACCATCTTGACAGGAGCCGCTAGATGGAGGAGAGAGGCACACGTGACACACGGCAGAGTGGACAGCACGACATATGTGTATATCGGAGGTTGGGGGGTGAGATCGAAGTGGAACGGAGAGCCCCCCTACCGGGAAATCGATTTCGGTTTCGTGTTCGTGCGTGCCGTGCAAGCGAGGCGAAGCTGCGTGGGCGGGCGAGAGAAAGTCTCCTGTGGCTGAGGCGCGGCCGGAGCAAAAGAACCTTGACCGGGCGGCCGGTGCCCCGCGGTGTCCCGCCGGTGTCCCACTGGTGTCCCGTGTGGCTGGGGCGCGGCCGGGGCAAAAGAACCTTGACTGGGCGGCCGGTGCCGCGCGGTGTCCCGCCGGTGTCCCGTTGGTGTCCCTTCGGTGTCCCGTCGGTGTCCCGATGATGACGTGGATGATTATGATGATGATGATGGTGATGATGATGATGGTAATGATGATGATGATGTTGATGATGGCAATGATGATGATGATGATGATGATGATGATGGCGTCGTTGATGATGATGATGGTGATCATGATGATTGTGATGATGATGACGTCGATTGTGAGATCGATTGTGATATCGATAGTGAGACCGAATGTGAAATCGATTGTGCGATGCTGATGGTGATGAAGGCCATGATGGTGATGAAGATTGTGATGATGATGACGACGTTGATGATGATGATGGTGCTGATGATGATGATGACGATGATGATGATGTTAATGGTGATATCGATGATGATGATGACGACGTCGATAATGAAATCGATTGTGAGATCGATGGTGAAATTGATCGAGTGAGTTCAATTGAGTGAGACCGATAGAGAGATCGATACTGAGATCGATAGTGCAAGAGGCGGCGCGGGCGGCGCCAAGCTTTGCCAGCGCTTCAGTCTTCTGTGGCCAAATGGCGCCGTTAGCTGCCGTTGCGCAGGTTGGGCAGGTTCCCAGGGGAAGGGTGACGTAAACAACTCGACACCAACGCCCCCAAGAGCGAGCGGCAACGCAACTATCTCCACTGGCATTGTCACAACAACATTCACCACTGTTGCCCATTGCTGGGCCCCCCCCCCAACCTCCTTATCACCCGCAGGGTGGTCGTATAAATATATACACATATAGATCGGAAAATGGGGGGTGAGATCGCAGTGGAACGGAAACCCCCAACCCGGAAATCGTTTCGTTTTGTTCGTGTCGTGCGTGCGGACGAGGCGAAGCTGCGCGGGCGCGCGGGAGGAATGAACCCGCCGCTGCTAGGGCGAAGTCAAGACAAATGATTCGCCCGCTCCCTCCCGCCCGTCCGGCGGTGGCTCGCGGTGTCCCGCGGTGTCCCGTGGTGTCCCGTGGTGTCCCGTGGTGTCCGCCGTTGCTAGGTCGAAATCAAAACAAATGATTATCCCCCTCCCTCCCGCCCGTCTGGCGGTGGCTCGCGGTGTCCCGCGGTGTCCCGTGGTGTCCCGTGGTGTCCCGTGGTGTCCGCCGTTGCTAGGGCGAAGACAAGACAAATGATTATCCCCCGCCCGCCCGTCCATCCGTCCTTCTGGCGGTGGCTCGCGGTGTCCCGCGGTGTCCCGTGGTGTCCCAGGGTGTCCCGTGGTGTCCCGTTGAGAGAGATCGATAGTGAGATCGATAATGAGATCGGTAAGAGATCGATAGTGAGATCGACAGTGAGATCGATACTGAGATCGATGTGGTGCCCGAGGTGTCCCGCGGTCTCCCGTGGTGTCCGATAAAGTGAGATCAATAGTGAGATCGATAGTGAGATCGACAGGTGTCCCGTGGTGTCCCGTGGTGTCCAGTTGAGTGAGATCGATAGTGAGATCGATAATGAGATCGATGCTGAGATCGATGTGGTGTCCCGAGGTGTCCCGTGGTGTCCCGTGGTGTCCTATGGTGTCCCGTTGAGTGAGATCGATAGTGAAATCGATAGTGAGACCGATAGTGAGATCGAGAGGTGTCCCGCGGTGTCCCGTGGTGTCCTATGGTGGCCAGTGGTGTCCCGTGGTGTCCTGTTGAGTGAGATTGATAGTGAAATCGATAGTGAGACCGATAGAGAGATCGAGAGGTGTCCCGCGGTGTCCCGTGGTGTCCCGTGGTGTCCCGTTGAGTGAGATCGATAGTGAGATCGATTGAGTCAGATGTTTGTTCCCCCCCTCTCCACCCCCCTCAACAACCTCCTTATCACCCGAAAGGTAGTCGTATAGATATTGATGTATAGATTCAGGATGGAAAAGGGAGGAGCTGACAAACAGAAGGATGGGAATAGTGATAGAATTACCTGGCCGCTTTAGAGGACCACAAATCATCAACGTGACGGAACCACCTTCGGAACTATGTGGACGAGGACTTGCCATCACGGTACAACCTCACGACCTACTCATCACGATGATCGGATACTACTGCCCGCCGCAGTCCAACAAAGGCAACACCAGAAAGCAGTACTACGCGACGATCGCCCGACTGTTCAAGTGGATGGAAGAGACAGCGAAGGATAAACTCGAACACGGCAAATTGACTGTCGCGGGAGACCTCAACAATGGCATCGGCATCACAACGAAAGGAGCACATCCATTAGCCTGGCGAAGGACCCAACCATATGCAGTTGTGAATACCGTCGTTGTGAGTATCGCATTCGGTGGTACTCTCTATGGGCCAAGAAACGCTGTCCTGGGTGGGGGAGACGCATGCGAACTGTGCCACTGGGACTTCGGTGGGGCTCCCTATGGAACTACGAAGCGCTGTCCTGGGTGGGGGAGACGCATGCGGCCCCCCCCACTGGGGCCTTCGGTGGAGCGCCCTATGGGGCCACGAAACGCAGTCCTGGGCGTGGGGGACGCATGCGGCCCCTCCCACTGGGGCCTTCGGTGGAGCTCCCTATGGGGCCACGAAACGCTGCACTGGGCGTGGGGGACGCATGTGGCACCCCCCTCTGGAGCCTTCGGTGGAGCTCCCTATGGGGCCACGAAACGCTGTCCTGGGCGTGGGGGACGCATGTGGCCCCCCCTCACCGGGGCCTTCGGTGGAGCTCCCTATGGGGCCATGAAACGCTGTCCTGGGCGTGGGAGACGCATGTGGCCCCCCCCACCGGGGCCTTCGGTGGAGCTCCCTATGGGGCCATGAAACGCTGTCCTGGGCGTGGGAGACGCATGTGGCCCCCCCCACTGGGGCCTTCGGTGGAGCTCCCTATGGGGCCATGAAACGCTGTCCTGGGCGTGGGAGACGCATGTGGCCCCCCCCACTGGGGCCTTCGGTGGAGTTCCCTATGGGGCCACCAAACGCTGTACTGTGTGCCGAAGCAGAGACATGCGAAGAGCAGAGGCCAGGAGGGGGAGGATGGGGGAGGAGGAGTAGGAAGGAGGAAAGAGGTGGGACGCGGGGCGCTGTCTCTTCAAAACGAGGACCCAACACCACAGGATGGTTGGGAATAATCACCAGCGCTGGGACCAGGACGATCACGAGAAAGACTGCCAGGATGAGCAGCGCAAAAGGCCAGGCTGGTTGCGGAGAAGCACGGCCTGGCGGTTCTGAATACTATGGGAAACTGGCGACCAACGTATTTCGGCGAGAAGGGCGCGAATTGCACTGATTACATCATGGCACCGCTAGAGCTGGCGGACAGCATGATCTCACAAGGCCCATTGCTTCGCATGGGCACACGCCTACAACATACTCCATGTCGGGAACACAGGAACCACGTGCCGGTTCAGGCTACGCTGCGACAACAACTGCGACAACGTGTACGGCAACAACAGAAGACCACAAAAAGGGACAGACACGGACTGGTGCGAGCAATCAGACAAGGATACAACAGGGACAAGTTCATCCCCGACCTCAAGCAGAAAGTGAAGCAGTACGAACCAGAGGGAAACTGAATAAACGCACTCTTCCAAGATATCAATGAGACGATCATTGACTTGGCTCAGAAGTACCATGGACCCCGACCGGCTACCAACTACGAGGGACTGAAGCGCCAACGCATGCACCTACTACGGCGGAGATGAGAGGGTAGAGTAGAACTACGACAACGCGGACCAACCCTCACGACCAAGATCTACGCAGACAACCCAGACAAGGCCGAAGTGGAACACATCACGAAAACGAATGCAGAAACTAACTGGCAGAAAGCGAACGCAGAACAGCGAGAGCAGGGGCAGGGGCAGGGGACTGGAACACTAACGAAAACGAATGCAGAACATATCACGAAAACGAATGCCGACCTCGCCGCCACAACCCTCCCAGGACACGGAGGGAGCGAGGCCAGGAACCGTTGCCGAGAACCTCATGGGAGCCCAGAGGGGCCCCGGGGGCCCGAGGGAGAGCGAAGGGAGTAACCCTTGCGCCGAAGAGGGGGAACGCGTCACTGACCGAGCTCCGCAGGACACAGATCGCACTCTGAGAGATAGAGCAGGAGCTCAAGCAGATCACCAAGCAGCGCGCAGAACTACGGAAGCAAGAGTATCAGCTGTACGGGGCGTGGGCGAGACGAGATCTGGCAAGGGTAGGACGTCTCTCTCTCCCTCTCTCCCTCTACTCTCTCTCTCTCTCTC